GAAATTCCCTATATTGTCTTCTGTCATATGTTCCCGTGTTTTTTCCTGGTGGACAATTGACATGCCTTTGCATGTGCTTGTGACGGTTGCCACCGGTGGTGCAGGACACGCTCACCTTTTCTCGAACAGCTGGTATCATCACTAATTGACAGTGATTCATAAACACATGCTCATGATATAGTTGGAATCGTACAATCTGTTTTTTTGTAAAGATTTCTTACGAATATGGAAATGGTTTTGTTGACTTTACACAGCTATTTTGACGTTTACACCAATGGAATCAATGTCGACGGATCTTAAAGACTAGCTATTCTCTTGTATTGACATTTTATGTTTACCGTTTCCATGGTGAATAAACATCGTAAACTTGGTAACCGAAATTGTACTCTGCATTGCGTTTAATATGCAGGCATTTAACTTAAACAGCAAAGAAGCTGATTGTCGCAAAATAACTACAGTGAAATCTGTGTAAGTGGGTGAGTGGTTGAGTTGAAAAGTATTTCATTTATATCAGTGTGAGGGGGGTGGTGGGTGCGGTAGGCGGTCGGGTAGCCCAGTGGTTAAAGCGGTCGATCGTCACGCCGAGAACCCGGGTTCGATTTCCGACATGGGTACAATGTGTTAAGCCCATTTCTGGTGTCCCCCGCCGTGATATTGCTGGAATATTGCTTCAAAGCAGTGTAAAACCAAACTCACTCACACACTCACTCAGTGTCAGGCCAGACTGGAATGATGCAGGTCTTAGAGATTTACCACTTTAAAACATCAACACAGGATTTAAAAAAAACCAAAACAACACTTCCAAAACAGATTCCTTAGGACGCAAAAATGCAAAATAGTGTGAAAATGATATCAATGAAAATCGGTGATGACACCAGGTGTTCTTGAAAATGGTAAGCATGTCCTACTGAACCTTTAGCACCCGCCTCTCATACAATTTTCATGAAAACGTAAGTGTTTGTTAATGCCTAACGTCGCACCCAGCAATACCCTTGCCATACGACGGAGGCCCCTGAACAATTGGCCTCTGAACAATCGAGTCTGGAACAGACAAAGCCGTGATCAGTATCATGAGCAGTGATCCACGTCATTGGGGTATGACGCCTCGCTGTCAACCGAGTCACCAAGCATGACCATCCGATCTATTAAAGTAAGGTTAAGTGAGTAAGGGGGTGTGAAACCTCCCTGTAGAGATCAAAGTATGGGATAGCACGGAACGTGTCATAGTAAATTCCTCTGAATATATCCCATAACATTTCTGGAAGAACTTGGCCGGGCCTTAACGAAACCACGATCCCGAGTGTAGTTATAAAACAAATCGTAATGAGGGCGAATCTCGGATCCTGTCACGCCTAAGATGTGTAACTCTGCACAACGAATTGCGGTGAAGCAGTCGGATGAGCCACCAATGCTAAGTCCACAGTCGAATTTCCGAGCTATGATATCAAAGAGTAAATTTGATTAGAGTGTAAGCAGTTGGATGAAAAAGGCATGTTTGGTCGTCATATCTTAATTATAACTCCATACATGTTATACAGTCGTCTTAGGCGCCGCAATTCGCTGTGCAGAGTTTCGTCCCTTGGGCACGCCAGAAATCTATGATTGTGGGTTCGAATCCCCGTTCGCGCCGATTATGTTTCTACTTGTGTCAGAACCAGACCCTAGCTCGTGGGTGTCAGCAAAGTGGTAAACGTCTTAGACCTGCATTACTTCGGGCTTTCCTCCCACATTAGGATGACACGCCGTGATATAACTGGAATTCTGTTCAAAGCGGCGTTAAACACAACACACTCACAAGCTAGTACATGAAAATAGGTTTAGTCACCCTACGTCAATGTATGGCTAGTGATGTATCATGTGAGTCCATTTCTGGTATTCGTGACGACTGTTTTGGTGAGTTTAAGAAGAATGTAACAAGTGACTATAGAAGTATCTAACAGTGCCTCGTCGACTGGACCGCCTCCATGGTCCAGTGGTAGAGCGCGCGCCCGGAGAGCGGTAGGTCCGGGGTCCGATCCCCGGCCGCGTCATATCAAAAGACGTTAAAAGATGGTTCTTATTGTTACCCTGTCCGGCGCTCGGCATTAAGGGGCTAAAACAAGGACTGGTCAGCTCGGAGTCGGTATATTGTGTCTGCGTGGTAGTCATGTTAAACTACGGAATGGTATCTCAGAGGGCTGGCACTATAAATCGGCAGCATTCTGTAGTGCAAACTGCCACAGTCACACAGTATAAGTATTACATAAGGAAACGAATTTTAGTTTATGCAATATTTCGATGTCTGTGTAAGATATATTTTCGTTATTGACTTAAACTTAGCAATGTTTAGCTTCTAAGAGCATGGAAACATAGCTTCGAAGGATGTTAAACAATTATTAATTCATATGTTTCATTCAAGTTATGAGAATTAAAAAGAACGTATCGTGACACATTTCTGAAATAAATGTGTTATTGGTCTGGAACTGTATGAAACACGATGACACATGTGTGTTATATCAAGCTATTGATAAAACATTGCATCCCTAGTCATTTGTTAAGTACGCCCCTGAGTGTAAAGACGTTAGAATTCATATGAGAAATTCATAATTTTGAAAGTCGACTCACCGAAGGTAATTATTGACTAGATATTAGGTATTTATATCGTAGAGAATATATATACTCATTTCAATGCTGATTTATGAAATATTAGTCTATTCAAGGCATATGATCGGAGAAAAACATAGTCAAGGGTCTTATCCTTCGGGGTGTTATGTAATAGATATTTTAAACGATATGTTGGACACTTGTCCCAAACGTATATAGAGATATACGGATTTCCATAAAACTGAACGTAGTTACTAAGATTTTGAAACAACATACAACTTTTGAATTATGAATTAATTTATTTCAAAGGTTTACGAAATGTTTGTCGGACAGGTGTACCGAGTTATAGCTCACGTTGCAAGAGAACGTTGCATGGCGTAATTAATTAATCGACATATTTATATTGAGGGGTCATATCAAACTCTCTCTCCGCCGAGTGTTATGTTGATAGTTGTGCGGAAACTGCTCTTACCAGCAGAGGCAACAGTGTATCTTTGATAAGGTCAAATATTTGCATCACATTTCCACATTAAAACTGAAATAATGTTGTTTTACAAGGAATTCATTCAATGTTGAATAAAAGAGTCTGTCTGTGTGTTACCGACAGTTTAAAAGTAGTAATAAAATGTTTTTCCTTTAATACACACACGTTGTTGTTTGCATGAAGGTAAGAACAATCAATATAGAAATAAACTGCGTTTTTGTGAGAGACCGATGGAACAGTTTGATATCTTCAAATAATGTGTGTACAAATAGATGCCTTGGTAAAAAAAAACTCACAGTAACACACCAGATATTGCAATAAGGAAATAAAGTTCGTCTTCATGAGACACCGATGAAAGTTTATCTTCAAATGACGTGTGTACAAATAGACGCCTTGGTTAAACACACCCGTTACTATTGCTACACCGAAGACGTGGATTATGAAAAGATCATAAGTGTCACTGTTGTTTAAATCTAAATTGTTTATGTCGTGAAGTTTTACGGTAGGATATCAGCATAATGTATTCGCCCAATAGGGTTCCTGGAGCATTGCTGATAAGAGAAATGACAAAAACAGAGATAGGTGAGTTTGTGTGTTGTTTAACGCAGCGAATTACAGAGATAGAGATAAACCAATATATATTGTGTTTTCATTTGTATGAAGAAAGGCTACTATTTTGTCTTTTTCATCTATTCAAAGGAAATAAGAATGTTGAAATATTTGCAGATAGAAGGAATGTTTAGGAGACCTAAACGAACAAACAATACATGAAATGGTGTGTCTCTTCAGCACATATGGTTTTATGGTTTACGAGTTTCACTTTTTTCGAAAAAAATATTTCACAATCTTTTATTTTGATTGAATTTTTAAAATATGTTTTACATGTAATACTGTGTTGGATGTTTTCATTTCTGAGTCCCTGAAAGCGACATTTGTAAGTGATAGGTACACCTGACGCTAAACACGTGACCCTCGTTAATTTCATTCATAGTTTTGTGTTTCAAGACATTTTCAGGAATTCGAATAGTTTGGGGACCTATGCGAAACACTCTCTTTTTGATAAGGTAAATGATACCAAAGTGTTTTTGTATATATACAATTTACTCAATTTCATATATGTTTGAAATTTTACTTTGTTTGCTTTCTTATCGTTACGCTTATCAAACTGCTTATCGCTACGCCGTGTATTAAAACGATCTCGTTCGTGTATTTACATTGCCCGTATCTCGAAACTGCATTTTTCCAATGAAAATGAATATTTGTTTTGTATCGGAAACTCATTGAGTAAATCGTGATTAAAATCGTTTTAGGAGACAGTTGTGATAACAGTTAGGATGTAACTACTGACGTCTATTCCACGACAAATCAAGGACTTATCTGTCACTGACTGTCCTCGTTATAACAACAGAATCGGTAGATATGGTATCTTAATGCGCTATAAACGTGTCTAGGGTCCTATTTGTGCATTAATCACAGCTATAATCCCGTTGTACGGTGATAATAGGAGTCAAGGGCTTCGGTAGCACTGTAAATCTTACCCAAAATGTAAGTAATTGATTTTACGATAAAACCGTTCACCGCGGAGCCATTTCGTTAATAGAAGACTTGTCCCTTAAGCATCTTACAAATTGTGATGTTGTCAAATAAATATCAGTTTAACAGTGGGTAACTTGATACTTTTGTTTCAGCATTAATACTACTTTTAGAATCAGTCAAAGAAAATGTGAATTTTATCATTTGCGCTTTTAGATACAGAATATTGTTGAAGGATATGCGCACGTTTTAAGGGATAAGAAAAACTGTTATCTATTATTAACCATTTCGATATAACATGATATGCATTCATAGATGACTATGCGTTTCATTGGGATATAAAAACAGTATTCTGCTGCCGTTATCGTTAGAAATATAAAAATACTGTGTTAAATCTTACCTCAATGCGTGAGAAGTTCGTGGATCGAAGTTCCTATAAATACAAATATGTTGCAAGTATTCTCTTCATCGGTCGATCGCAATTGATGATATAATGTTGGTTCTGACTACAAACCGAACTCTTTTCAGGAAATATTGCCAATATCGGCTATAAACATGGGAATGTATAGATATGCCCCCCTTAGTGTCCTTCGATTGGCTCGTAAATGTCACGTGATTAAAATAAACCAATTAAACGGCAGTATCGCTGTCCGTGTCGCTCGATTTGTCATGATTGAAAAATGACCCCTCGTGTACCGAAGGAGCAATATTTTGTCTTAATCAGACACACTGCATATTTGAAGTTGGGCCGACATGAATTTTTCATTGCTCTCTATTCTGTTTATTTCGCATCTATATTCATTTGAACGCCTAAGCTAACAGCAAAATGGATAGAAGACTTTTTTCCTCCTCCCAAACAAGAAACCTATAATTTTGTAAAATTCACCGATGTTGAGATAAAACGAGCATGACTCTCTTCAATCAAAATGAATGCTTTAATCAAGCTTGTCTAGGTTCGAGGGATCCAATAAAGATGTGGACCTCGAGATATCACGACTCGAAATTAAATGCCCCCCTTTTTCGCCTCCCTCCCCTTGAAATCCCCCTCCCAATGATCTGTTCACTCTGAGAAAACATCATACGTCGATTTTGATTCCATTTCGTTTTATCCAATCAATGGTAACACACTGGTCTAAACAGAACCTCAAACTAGTCGATTGAAAGATAGATTTTATTCGTTTCAATAATTGACAGTTTCCTATTAGTTTGACGAATGGTGTCCATTCGTCAAGGGAGGTAATTCTATTATTCCCGTCCAGTGATATTTTTGCTGAGAAAGTTTAATTTTCTAGGTACCTCTACCATAGCCTGCCACTGCATGCGACAAGACAAAACCAAATTAAACAGTATCTTCCTTTTATTCAAGCAATGCTTTGACACCATGTGTGAAACGTGGAGGTTTTGATTTGTGAGATACGAATGAATCTACAGAGTCCCTCTCAATTTCTTTCTGGTCCTGAGTGAAATTAATTAAAAGCCTTAGCGATTGCTGCGTCTTCATGCAGGGGAATCAATAAGAAGCAAGAAAAGGAAATAGTAAATCTTTCAAGAAGTCAATAGCAATCGAGAGAGCGAAAGACTCAGGGATGCATGATTAGCGTGTGGCCATAGCTTCTTCAATCACAGCCCCCCTCGTTGCCCTATCTGAATGCTACAGCTGTGATCAGGCCCGAGAATTGTCAACTTTTATAATTTGTCTCTCACCCCAAATCAAACGTCTCAACGAACGCTGGCCTGAGGGTCGGTCTCATTTGGTAAACGACTTATTTTGGCCAAATTGAGCAGAGATGAAAGACTTTGAAGAAAAAATTAAGAAAATCACAGATTTGGCACAGCGTCATAGAGGATTTATGTTTCACAAATGAATATTTATTGTAATATTTTTCTGCCAAATAATGATGTTATTTCGGCAATTTGAATTTCATGTCATTGTTTGATGGCCGAATGAGAACGGTGATTTATGACAGATAGTTGGAAGATTAGAAATCTCACAGAGTTTCATTTTTTCCTTCTTTTCAACGGCATTCCTTTGCACTAGGTCAATCTAGCCTTACCGCGGTGAATCAAATATTGCATTATGCTTCAGTGAATGATATATTTATCAAAGAGTGAATTTAACTCTACCCTGCCCTTTTCATCAAAAACCACTAAAATATGTATATGTGTTATTAGAAATACATAACAAAACATTAATCATTCAGTTGTGCATTTTCTAAATCAATCCGCGGCTTTATGCGTTCATCCAGTGACTCTTATCATAGCATGTGCTAATTATGCAAGACATATCTCTGTATCGCGATTTGTCAGCATAACGTATTAAAGATTAAACATTAATGTTTGGCATTATAAATCTTAATTCAAAAGATAAAATCCCCCGATTATGATATGAGAAATCGGGGAAGAGCCACGTGTCATTTCGCAAATGCAATAGACATTTTTGAGACTTGCAATGACAACATACCTCCCAGGATTGCCATATTCCAACGCATGAACTCGCATAATTCGTTTATTAATCCATCTCCATATAATGGTTGCAATAAACGCACATGCAATGTCACATTTCAACGCATAGACATGAATAAAACACTTTCGTTTATTCGTCCATCGTCATGGTATCATAATTGCAATACACATTTAGCCAAACGTGTCTATTTCATTGTATGAATGAGAAATGAAATGTACATACATACATGTGATATTGACTTGTAGCTATATCAGTGTATCTTTCCTTCGCGTGATGGGGCGGGAAGATATTTTAGATATATATGTATTAGAAGCGTTGTGGGATGATGCCGATGGGATTGTCTGGATTTGCTGAAACAGTACATTGAACACGCAAGAAAATGCCTGGCTTTCTTGTTTTTGTTTGTTTGTTTGTTTATTAGTCAGTTGACTGTTCAGACAATATGCTGATGAGATGAAGAATTTTGCAGCATAATTTGACATATATTTATCGTTATATTTTCAATTACTTAAAATGCTTGCATATTGCATATTAGGTTAAAAAAGATAATTGACCAAATTACTCACATATCCTTAGCAAGTGTCTATAAATCTTTTTTTAAATATTTCTTTCTGATTCTTTAACCACTATTACTTTTATATTCATGACTTGCATTAATGTTCCCTTGTTAACAATATTTCGATCCAAAAATCTACATATTCATTGCGACTTATTCCATTAGCTGGTGAATGGAACAAAATATGTGCTTTTTAATATGATATCACAGTCATTATCTTGAAATGAATATGGAAATTGAATCAATACATATGAAAATAGTGTTTTACAGTTGTTTAATAAATATTCCTATATTGGGCTTTTTTCAGACACACAATTCGCCCCCTTTGTACGAGCTCCTCTCGAAGATTCATCAGAAAGACGAACTACTTCTTAATGCGGAATACGGATTCCATTTAAAGAGTGAAGAGTGTATAAAGAACACATTAGGGGGGTCCCTAAACAGTCAGTGACAAAGTGGAATTTCGGCAAAAAACAAATCACAGAGTGGGATTAGTGTCACGCAGCCAAAACACTTTCAGAACTAATGAATGAAAGACAGGACAAGCTTCGTATAATGTATTTTGCGCCCAAAGTAATTTTCAACTGTTTAGGCACTACTTTTTAGCGATTGGTACCTAATCACTGGGAAAAAAATCACTTGTCTTGAAAGCGATGTGCCCCTTAATCAGAATCAGAGATATTATGGGCGCAGAACCTGGATCCGACCCCAGCGGAGTTCATTTCAGCCAATGGCAATTCATCACTATGTCCTCGAAGTTTGTGTTAGTTAATGCAAACAACGTTAACAAAACCATAATCTTATAATCTTTCAAAAATTCCTGATTTATTGAAATAAAGTGTCATCGGAAAATTGAAAGTCAAATCAGTCTCTTGTTTGACCCTTTCACATCTTTGCTCAGACTTTTTGGCTCCACTTTTGATATTCGTCGTTCGTTTTTGTATCCACTAGACAGAACTGCGCCTACATTTGCATAATGTCATGTTAGATCGAATGAAAACCATTCGCGAGGTGGGACCCCGTGATTAAAAAAAGACTTATAGAAGCGAATTTTAAAGAACAAGAATATTTTAGAGAAAATTGCTTTTTCGGGAGAAAAATTATGCACGTGAGAAAGATTCGTCGTTAGAGCATTACACAGGAGGTTGCGACAGATCTTATGGTCATTTTCATCTCAATATTTTTCTGCCAATTTTATACCATAGTTTTATTTCTTGAAGGTTTTGTATTTTTTGTAATGCAGTCTCATATTTGTTCTTTCTTTAAGAACAAAACTTTGCAATATTGACTTTCGACTGTATCATAACGAAATAACAGTATGTATGTTAGAATCACCAGAATGAATGTGATACTCGCATATTACTGCCTGAGAAACATTATGTTCTATTGACCAACATAAATAGAACATACAGCGAACAATATAAGTCTGTGGCATCGCTGTTAGTTCATTTAGTTTGTATGTTGTGTTCTGAAATACAACTCTGTCATACATAATGGAAGCCATTGCTTTTTGCTATCGTCATAAACGATAGGGGCATTGATACGTCATTTATCATCAGCAGCAATTATGCATCGTTATCCGTTATAGCATTGTTAAGTTATCAGGTGTATTACAATAACAACATGCTGCCATAATCTTTGAACTTTTTACGACCTCTGTGGGTATATCGCACTTATAAACAGTTGAATTCTTGACTTATTGTCAGAATACATTAACATATTTATTGATATTATTTTCAAACTGTGAGAGTAAAATATCTGACTCGTCATCCAAATATTCTTCACATGCTTCGCTGTTTGCGTATTTCTGTATGACACTCGAAAACACCCTTTAAAAGGAGTCAGAGCCCAACTGAAAGTTAATTACTAAAATTGGTCGGAGTCTTTCCAGTGAGTTATCGTTAATGCTGACAACAATTTGGGCAGATGTGGTTTAAAACCTTCTTTGTGTTTTATCAACGGACCGAAAGGCAATAAACTACGAGGGGGACAAATGTCGTCATACCCCTCCTCATCCTCACCCCTCCCTCCCGCTGTATCCCTCCCCCTTCTTCCGACCCCCTGCCCCTCAGTCGCCTCCCATGTAACGGGCAGTGATTAAGTCATTAAGTCCAGCGGTCATAAATTACACATGGATTGAAGGTGGCTTTCTCATTTCGATGACCTCCTTCAGTTTTGCCACGTGGCTCGTGACGCCCCGCCGTACCCTCAACTCAGCGACCCCACCCCCTCCTCCGACCGTCTTCATCACCCCCATGTCTGAATAAGTTTTCAGTGAAAATGCATTTTATTCGATATTTTCATGACAAACATTTAGGATGCACGTGACGAAATGTGTCAAATTGACAAAACATATTGTCATTTACATATCTAATAAATTATACTTGTTGAAATGTGTTCCATTTCATCTCAATGTTCATGGGGTGTTGACAAGCAAGATGTATGGGTGACAGATTTGTATTATCGAGGCCTTTATTACAAATTAATCAAAACAAGCGTTAAAATAATTAAGTGGCAATTAAGGGGTGTTGGATGCAAATACTAAGACGGTAACAACTTCATTCACCCCATAAAAAATTAGATCCTTGAAACATAATGAACAGACATTTTAGTAAAGACTTTTAATTTGGTTATTTTTGAAGGCAACATTCATCAAACTATGGCTTTAAACGAAATGTCGTCGTAAGATGCACAGTTCTACTCAAAACGGTAATACCTGGACGATAGTAATATTAATGAACTGCTCAATAAATGAACTTCTGAAACAATGTACATCAGCGTGGTATATACATACAATACTACACATAGTTTTCTCACATAGGTCTTCATTGACCATGGACACATTAAAACCTACGTTATAAGTTCCATAGACACGAATGCACACAGACAGCCAACATTTCGGAATGTTAGCCTAATTGGTGGATGTCGTACTCGAACTAACCTCTGGCATCCCCAAACAATAAAAGTCCCACACAATTAACCGTATCTGTGACGAAGGCTGCAAAAGTATCTTTGTACACTGAAATGTCCCAATTATAACGGACGCTCGGAAATAGAAGGCAAATCTACCGTGACAATACTTCTTCCAATGACAAATGTTGATGGGGAGGGGTGGGGATGGTTGACAGGGATGGGGAATGGTCGACAGGGGTGGGGATTGGTCGATGGGGGTGGGGAATGGTCAATATGGGTTGGGAGTGTTGCTTATGATAATCTTGACGCCAGATTTAGTCCAGTTTTAATACCTTACACAACAAATAGCATATTTACTTTACAGTCACCACAATGTCAATGAAAGCATAGTTTTAATGTTTATGGCATATACCGTTTTCCAACCAATTTGTTTTCCGATTTATTTTAACATGATGTTATTTTTGGGGTCGATTTAGTTTAATTTCAGGTCATAAAGCTAACTGTTTCTCATAAAGCATACATCAAATATGTATCTATTTGTGTAGAGATCTGTCATGCCTGTCTTCCTCAGAGTCGAAATCTTCATGGACGAAAACATGAAATGTAATAGCTTGGGCACAATTATTGTGATAATGGATTTTGATTCTTTATACCAAAATAAACAATTAATGTTCATCTACAGATTTTTTTAAGGAAATTATTTACTTAAGATCTGCATCTTGCAACCCAGTTAAAGTTTTGTTTTACTTCACTGCACATTTAATATACTAGTATATATATATTTATTTAAGTTGAACAATGGTTTTAAACTTGTCTACTTATTTCAATGAACGAAATTAATCATATAAAATGGTTTTACAAAAGAACAACAGTATAAAATCATAACATTAATTCAAAGTAGTGAGACGTTCTATCTTAAATATACCCCACCCTAAATACCTACAAAATCCCGACCCCACCTAAAATCCCCGACCCGTATTGACCCCTGACCTTCCTGATTACCGAAACCTATGAACTGGCGGCGAAGGAGTGCTTTTATCGCGAGCAGCCCTCAGTAACACTTCATAATTCACCACTGAAATCAACGCCATTCTTTTCCATCTCTATATCGGCAACGGAACAATAAAATCGTTATAACGGCAATGTTTATGAGGCAAATAACACCGAAACGCTCGTAATAGCTGCCGGTTATAGATCATAGCGGCCCGTCTAATACTATAGGTACATGCATTAAAGCTTGATATCAACATCGTAGCGTCTATAGACAACTTGAAATCTACAAACGGAGAATATTTTTACGAGGCGACAAAAAATGAAGACGGGAAAAAAAGGTAATAAATTCACACCCCGATGTAATGGGGGCTAAGTATTACACTGTCAGTTATTGCGCCAATTGTAAATCAAAGTTTAAATGTAGTACCCACCTTGCGATGCAAAGATTGACAGGTAGGGACAGCTATGAAGTCCCGTCGGCTTCCTTTGATCTTTCCGACAAACCCTCTTATTGGACAGCGAGACAGTACAATAAATTCATAAAACTACTCTCTTGATGGCGTCGTGTTCATTTCTTTCTCGGCCGTATCATACTTAGGCTGTTTAGCGGCACTGGACCGGAACTACTTCATTTGTATAGCAGACGGGTCTTTCGCGGAGTGATATATATTCCAGCCAATCGGAGCGCTTGTAACAAACCGCTGTTGGCGAGCCGCGGCAGCAGACAAAATTGCATTCTGGAAATGGGAACAAGATATGAGGCGATTTTACGGCAAATATAGGGCTTCTTGTGAATGAAATGATAACAAGCTGTTATTAACTGTAGGTTAATCAAGAAAAAGATGCATTTTTAAATCAGCGGGGTGATATTTCGTTCAAATGGCTATTTCCAACACTAGTTTGTATGCCTGATAGGTGGACTGCTTCATTATGGCAGTGTTTTTATACTTGTTCACCAGTTTCGCCTATAGCGAAATGTTTAATGTTTAATATATAGTTTTCTTAAATCTATGACACAATTACTTAGTAAATGGCTTATTTTAGACTTGTCTCAAAACAATAACAAACGATAACCATATTGACCTTATCCCCTTAAAACAATACACTTTTTTAAAGAAGGCATCTTGAAAACACAAATAAGACAAAACACCAGGTTTATAATGAAGAACACGATTTATGTTAATAATAAAAAAAATATCTGGAGACGATTCTTCCCTCACAAAATCTAGTATGCAAGTTGTATAAATAAGATTCACAAAAAAACTTTTTGACAAATTTGGACAAAAAAACATGACCACATAACGATTTTCTGTGCATATTCCGGATAGTTTTACCGATATGCATGGTAAGTATCTAACAGAGTGGAATATTGTGTGTGTTTAGAAATTGTAAAAACAAAAAGGTTATATACAAAAACAATGAATAAAATTCACCATTTGAGAAAATGCATTATTCAAAGGTTAGATACAGAAAGCTGCCGGTTCTAGCGCTTGGGCGTTTTGAAAGATTCGGGCAGCAAAAAGCTTTGAAAATAGCATGGAGATTTTGCATACTTTCACACAAATGGAGCCTGAATGATTCATTTTCGTGCGTGGACACAAAATCGTTAAGAACATGTCTCGTCTGATTTGAAGCGTCTTTTCAGCAGTCATTGACAACAGTCATAAAACATTCAAGCATTTGTCCGGAAAATTAACGGTTAGAATTGTTCCGGCAGAATGCAAAAGAAAATTATTGACAAAGCCCCCCAACGATTTAACAGCTATAGCGAGTCACTTTCTCCCCTCACACTCTGAAGAACTTCCTTCAAGGTAGATAAATCACCTCGCAACTTGGCCCAAGTTTTCGGAGGAAGCAAATTATTTATACACCTATCTCTTGTGATCGGATGGTTTGGAAATACCTATATATTTCTTCAATGCGAGTTTGGCACAAAAGAATTACGGTTGTGATTTTATCATGTTTTTACTTTGAGTGACACGTGTCAGGGAAGAGGTATTGCGAGCGCTCCTGTAGAACAGTCTACCTTTCCGACAATCAATTATTCACAACCAGGCATATGTGATGCGGGGATGCTCTTCCCATATTTCACAATTGCCACTTTGTGGGATTCAGAAGCAGAAATGAAGTACTGAATTTCATCTTTGGGAATTGAAAGAAACGCCTTTTCGATTTTATGTCATTTGCGATTTAAGAGTTAAATGTTTTAGTGATATTCAAAATTAAAGAGTAAAACTCAGAGAAGGTCTTTATATGGTTTTAACGATTTGTCTTATTTCGTATTTAAAATAAGAATTTAAGTTCGTTGTTTATCGTCTTTGGTTATTTGATAGCTGCTTTAGGACATCCCATCAAATATGAATATTCATAATACGATATATGTTTTACATCGCCTCACAAAAAATAGCAATTCTACAGATTCAGAAATCTATGTACGTGAGGTTATATTTTCTGATTTAAATATGTATGTTTACGGGGTTCAAATATTCCTCACACCTTCAGGAATGATGGCCATAGAATTGACGAACTCTCGTTTTGTTTCACAATAAACATTCAAGCAGATGCTGAAAGCTCCAATTGCCCAAATAGCCATAAACCTAGCATACGAGAAATACCATGGAATATGAGGAAGCACATGCGCCTTTCCTTCAAGTCAATTACCATCACCAGTCGTTTCCAATGCTCGCCATCACCAAAATATGAAGGTGATATTAGCGCGTGTAAAGGCAAAGTTATCTCCCCTTGACAGGTCAATTGCTGTAATCCAACCTTATTATGAATGGTTCCGACTTTCCGCGGACACAGTGTATGGCACCGAGGCGCCTAACATTACAAATGACTGCCGCGTTTGTTCATAACCACTAAATACACCTCCTTATTTCGCTAGAGCCCTTGAGCAGCAGGACACATCCTTCTTCGTGGCATTAAAGTTATGATTATGAATTATGACGTCATTATATCAGCGTTCTGAAAGATTGATGTCAAGCCTACATGCAATCATGATTTGCTTCTAAACACATTAAGCATCACATTAGACAAAATAGAACGGCACTGGTCTTCACACACAGCTACGTCCCTTTAAGAAGTAAGGACCCGCTAAATTCGATGATGGAACAGAATTGGTTCCTGGTGATGTTTGGGATACCGTATCATCAATGACATTATTCTGATTTTTATTAACAACCGGAAAACGTTTTAATTGGTTTAATGCTGCCGTTGAATTTGATAATTAGGGGAAAGGGGAACTAAAGATGGGATACCCTACTGTGCAGAGTTGAGTGTCTTTGATGTGCCAGGATCCGCAGATCGTTTGTTCGAATCCAATATTTCACCGTGGTATAATGTTTTTGTTTTCCCCACCTTATCCGTGATAGTGGGTGCCACCAAAGTCTAAATCCTGCACCACTTCGGCCTTTCACCCAACGTCAATATAATACACACTTGGATGTGACTGGAAGGTATGGTTACTGACTAATTTATCTGAAATGGTTTGATAAGGTACCATTTTGTGTATGTTTAAATAATTTTACAACTTAGTGTATCCATGGGTTCTAACGCTATACATGACGTAGTAAGGTGTTTGTTTCAAACATGTTCTACGTGGATGTCCTCTGTGACATCTCTACACCCCAACACGACCCTACATAAATAGCATTAAACATCCGCATAAAGATGAGAGGCATGGGTTTGAATGCTTCAATGCTGCGTACACTAACGCACATGTGTTGTTCACATTATTCCCTGACACGACCCCATTTGCCGTGACGTCACGGCTTGGTAAGGGGTCACATTGGCATTATATCGAGGTTAAATTAAATACGTGCATTGTTGTACAGAGGTGAGGTTCCCGACGTTCAAGATTATTGCGCTTATATAGCGACATTGTTGGTCGGAGTGAGTGAGTGAGTATGGTTTTACGCCGCTTTTAGCACTATTCCAGTGATATCACGACGGAGGACACCGGAAATGGGCCTCACACATTTTACCCATGTGGGGACTCGAACCCGTGTCTTCGGCGTGACAGGCTGTTGTACGGAGAGTTGCTATTTGGTGTACACGTTGACTGTATTACGTATGTTTCACGTAGACATTGTACTCGTTTGTGAAGGTTCCTTTACATTAAAAAAGTACAAAAAACAATAAGGATGTATCAGTGAGTGAGTTTGGTCCTACGATGCTTTTAACAATATTCCGACAGCACGGTGGGTTTCCCATATTGAACCCATTATAACCATCTAGGGAATCGAACTCAAGTCTTCGGCGTGACGCTTTAACCACGAGGCTATCCCACTTCCTCTAAATTTAAATGAATGTATTAGGTTTCAGTTCCGAATTCATTACAAATGAATAGCGATGCAGTTAATAAGAAGTTTGTGATGGGAACAGTTTAAGGGGTACCATGTAGTATCATGTCATCACACACTGCTCTCACACTTGGCGTTGATAAGAGTCTTTATATTCCTTGTGTAAACTCCCTTTTTTCATCCAATCGGCCTCATCACTTGACTTCTAGACTATCATTTAGTCTCTGAAATTTTATATTACACAGTATACTTCTTGACTCTAAAAATAAATAAATAATTCCCTGTGTTGATGTCATGTGGAATAGAGCTAGCTAGAGCTGGCTAGACTTGCTTTTGTATGCGTTTCTAGATTTGTTGTTCATACAATAAATATATTCTACAGTCATGGTGCAGGACTACTTGACCTCGTGCACTTCATAGTGTTCATAAGTAAAGTCTGAGGTTTGATATTTCACTCCGGGGTGAAAACACTCGGCAAGAATCCTAAGATCTGGGGTTCCTTGTAAACACAGCACCCAAGCTCATCCCAGAGATTCTCTATAATGTTGAAGCAGGGGAGCAAGAAGGTCAATACGTTCTGGAACGAGAAATAGAAATTTGGAAATATAGCAATCAATGTAGCCAACAAGAATGGTACCACGATTTGGGCAAACTTAATAAATCTCCGTAGATCTGCGCGTCAAGTTTCCAGCAACACGTGTAACTGTCACCTCGTTAGATCTGCAATATGACCATAATGGAACACCACCGAGTGGATTATGCGCCATCACAGTTCCATCCACAATACATTCCTGGCGCCGTCTGTAAACACACCTGTGTCCATCGTCGAAGGAAAGATTGAATCAGCTCTCATCTCAGAACAGAACAGAACTGAAGACCACGGACCATCTCTGACGACGTCGGCACCATAGCAAACGAACTTGCCTGTGACGTGCTGTCAGTACTGCCATGACAGTGGAGAACGGGACCCAGTAGAACGCAACCTGCTTCTAAGTTCAGTTATCGAGTAGTAATTCCTCTCTTTACTTAATCTATTTCAAACAAATACTGCCGCTTCACACCCCTTAGTCTTTCTCGATCTACATCACTTCATCTTCATGTATCTCGAACTACGTCGTCTGTTTTAAATCCTAATATTGAGTCATGTCAATAAATCTCTCGAATTACATCCATACATTTAGGGGATTGGAGTAGCTGAGTGGTTGAAGCGTTGGCTGGTTGTCCCGCGCTGGGGTATGGCAGGAATATTGCAGAATGCGGGGTAAAACCATCCTCACACATTCTAGTGGTATTACGTCACTACATCGCCCAAACAACATCACAAGATCAGCCTTCCAAAA